CGGCGCCTTATAGCAAAAGCATTGTAAGACTGCACAACAAACATCACAAACCAAATTCGTTCTGCTTATACAAACAGCATCAAGGTGATGGTCACAATCTATTTACGGTTTATGAGGACGTGGTCCAGCTTAGTGTTTGGCTTTTTATCCGAGGACGTTCCAGGTGGTTTGGTCAAAACGCTTATGAGGAAAATGGATCCCGCCGATGATGAAGCTGTTTGTCGTTGAAAATTAAGATGCTTGCCGTTGTCATTCGTGCTGTCCATTCCCTAAGAGTTAAGTTCGCCTGGCCGTTTCCTGTACTCGGTGCCTACCTTCGCATTTGAGGTTGCCTGTGGCAGTGATAGAAAGCATCTTTATCGTCGTTGTCGCTCGATACATTTGTCTTAGCATAGGCGGCAGTAACTTTCAGGCTAACCTGTTTGACGTTCATGCGACAGACCACGAAATGATCGCACTCATTACCATTGGAGATAATAAGATACTTGCAACATCACGGACTATTTTACTGTTGTCTCACCATCAGAATGACCACCCATCCTACCCTACAGTCAAACATTTTTCTCGGGGGTGATCTTCCGTGTCTGCTAGTACATCAAGTTTATACCGAAAAGCCGTTCGGCAGACATCATATAACTTGTCTTCGCCAGACAGGGAACGAACGTTCCAGCATGCAGCATCGATCTTACTTTTAAAGTGTTGATTTCTGGAATTTGCCAGTTTCTTGGTTCCGAGTTGTCTGGCATGTTGCGAGTGAAAATCACTCACCTCATTTTTGCAAAAACAATAAATTTGACGCCTCCCGCTAAGAAATTGTCATGACAACTGCCAGAAAGCAAGGGTGACATTCAGTAGTGTACAAACGAGCTCTTACAAGTTGTCTCCAAGCATTTTCTTAACCAAAATACGCGGAAGAAAATGAGTTTGGCTGGAAATTTCTAGTTGAAATTTACTCTGCCAGAACAACAACAAGAATCAGTTGCTCTTCAGGGCGATTATTTCATCTTTTGGTTACAAGTTTGCTCAGGTGCCATATTAGTGAAAGAGACCTTATTTGATTTTTCGTTGCCG